ATTTTATGAACTCTAGTGGGTGGACTAAAAATTTGGCCTCAATTTTTGCGTCTTCAAGCAAGAAAAAGTGCGAACCACACCGAGCCGTGCAGTGCTTTCGAAAGATCGTCGGTGCTCGGCAGGTCCGCAAGTGGTTTGAAAGTTTTCGAAGTGAATATGAGAGCTTGGAGGAGGTCTTGCAAGCGGATAGTCTCATAATTTTGATGACGCTGAATTAAGGACAATCGAGACCGAACCAACTTAAGCGACAAGAAACTTGGCTTAAAAGTTTATTTGCACATATGCAACAATCAAAAAACCCTCCTCAAGTCGTAGAAAGGCGAAAAAGTGTGCAAAAAACAAATCGCAATTATATTGCTGTCTTTTCCCTCCGCACTATTTCACGTCTCAACTTGCTCTCACTAACCACTGCTTTGTTATAAAATATTACACTTATAAAAAGCGATTTATTGCATTCATTTGTCCCATATGCATTCGTAGTAATTAACTAAAGTTGCATTGCAACATGCGCCTTAATACCGTGGACTACTGTGGAGTACTTAAGTTAGACCAGTTGCACCGCATCGAGACGTTCCAAAAAGATTAGTTTCTTGCTAGTAGGCACTGCTAGAAGCCAAAGGCGATCAACCGCTGCAACTCGTCCCGCAAATCCAGAAAGCCAAAGGTCGATGGTGCTACAAGTTTCTACGCTATCAAGTTCATACCAGCACTTCGAAATGTTCTATGCAGATACTTTCTCAAGCAGACCTGATTACGTCCATTAGTTGACGCCTCTCATTCTCTACTTGGCAACATCATAATTCTCTATCCCGCCGGAATACACAGACTTGGGGATTAGTTGAGGACATCGTACAAAATCAAAGCAAAAGAGATTCACACAACACATAAAGCATAAAGGTAAGCAAACGCTTTCTTCCGTAAGCACTTATTATTTTTGTTACATAATTATTCAATTCTCTGTAATTTGGTAATTCATGTATTAGTTTGAGGGCCCTTTCCCTGCTTCATAAAAT